GAAAATACAAAAAACGTGATGAAAATTATTTATAGCATCAGTGTGTTGTACTTAGAAATTAGGATTCGAATTATTTTACTAAAATTTCTAAGTAGTAATTATTTTTCCTTGACGTTTTGAGTCTTTCTGAAGCTTTTGACACTAGATATATGCATATATATATATATATATATATATATATATATATATATATATATCCATTACCACTCTGCTAAAGTGTCCTCCTGCATAAACAAAATTAGACCTCTCTCGAGATCCTTTAAGATTGATGTGTAAGTTGCTTTCGCTTCAGCAAATTATTCATGAAGGATACGCAATGGAAATATAGAGAGAGGATCGACGATTTGTTGTAAATGTAGTCATGCTGACAAAAGATTTTCCAAGAAGGACGACTCTGATATTCCAATTCCCTGGACAAATATTGCCGAGTCGACTCCTGTAACTGCGATCACGCATGTTTGAAATGGAAATTCGAAGAATAACATGATAGGAAAATGGATTTAGCAACATTTTTCCTGCATTTCACCAGAAAGATGATTTTTTTTGAAGAATTTGATAACATGATTAAGTAGTAACTTGGCTTAGAAACATAGATTCAGAGATTTATCACAATTACCTAGCACGTGGCTGTTCAATATGATCTTATATTATTTCAAATATCAAAATTTAAATATCGTTTGAGTCTATTTAGAATACATTTAATGTAATTCTTGTATTAATTTCTCTCGCCATTAAAAGATTTTTCCTTTGTATTACGATACTTTTCTGTCTTTGTATTTCTTGTGTACTTTTCTGAAATATAATACTCTATTGTTGTTTCTGCTCTCTAGTTACTCAATGCTACTAATTTACTTAGGTAATTTATTTTTCTTTAATGGAAGTTTTCATTACAATCCCATAACATTTACACGATTTATCCTGCTTTAGTTTTTTTCTAAAAAATTTTTGTTTGTAGTTAAATATGAAATAGTATACACAATTTTGTATATATTGTTGTAAAATACGGCAGTGTTTGTATAGTAGAGCTACGACAGTGATCGTAGAACTATGACTGTGATCGTACAATTACGATGGTTAGTGTAAGGCTACGACGGTTACTCTAAGGCTACGACGGTTCTCATAGAATTAGGATTGTGATTGTAGGGCTACGACTGTGATCATAACACTAGCATTGTGATTGTAGGTCTACGACTGTGATCATAACACTAGCATTGTGATTGTAGGTCTACGACTGTGATCATAGAACTAGAATTGTGATTGTAGGGCTACGACTGTGATCATAGAACTAGGATTGTGTTCGTAGAGCTACGCCAGTGGTTGCAAAGCTACGCCAGTGATTGCAAAGCTGCGCCAGTGATTGCAAAGCTACGCCAGTGGTTGCAAAGCTACGCCAATTATCGTAGAGCTAGGTGTTGTAAAAGTGCGCCAGAAGTTACAAACCTACGTTGACATTTGTAGAGCTACGACAGTATAAGTACTTCTACGACAATACAAGAAAATATATTGAACATAATACCAGGCAAATTAGAAAATCATGCCAATACTACATAAATTAATTTTTTTTATTAAAATGAAGCACTAACAAAGAGACTCTAAACGATGCAACAATAAATAATCGATGGAAATTAGTTTAATGCTCTTTTATCACAGTATTCTGAAACTCCCATTAAATTTCGGTTCGAAAAAGGTTTCCATGGCGTGTGTACAGCTATAAAAGACGTTTATATATAGAATACAGACATATTATACATACTATCTGTTATAACATGGTAGTTAACTGCCTATACAAACTTATATTACGTCAACACAAAGTTATTGTTCGACAGATCCTATACAAACGGTCTTATCGGGCTGCATTGGCAATGTTATTGCAATTGATGAATTATTATTGCCAACATATTGATTTATACACAGTATAATTCACAATAATGTATGATAATAATATTGTTAGACGATAAATATAAAGTGGTTTTAGAGGGTAATATAAATTTTCTAGATTTATTGAGTTTCTCACATAAAATGGTCAAACTTTAGTATGCAGTTTATTTCTTCAGCACGCTTGTATATATTATATTTATAGTTTTCTGGATAAATTTCTTAATATTATTGCCGAATAAGTCAGCACAAAATTTGTTATATATTAGTCATGACATATGTAACAAATGATGAAAACATTAAAGAATTTTCAAATGTAATAGCAATAAATTAGAGCTTATTTATTCAGTAATTTTTTTGTGCAATCTTGGTATACTAATCCATATCACTACTCTAACTTCTTTTTAGTTTTTCAGTCCCTAGACCAACTGTATTTAATTTGAATTTTGTTGAATAATCAATAATTAAAAATATAATCTTTCAAATTAAAGTATTAGGTACAACTAGCAGAATAAAAATATTTGACTCTTACCCACGGTTTCAATTGTAAATTTTATCATTTAATATCATCCTTTGAAATATTCAAATAAAAACTCATTTATAGAGCATTATAAAAGCAACTTTCGCAAACCCAGTTATAATAAGCTTTTGTTCTGTTCATAAGCTCAAAAGCTCTATTGCAGCTTTTTCACAACCCGCTAAAAATTTAATCAATTCCAAAGTAATTTATCGTTTTAAGTGCTATATATATGATATTACTATAGTTTAAATACATAAATTAGTTTGGTATCAGATATTTATACAGAATTCATGAAGCTGTCATGAATAAGCATTAATTCCGATACATGTAGATGTTTCAAATTTGCATACGTTTATGTACATATTAAGTTAAGATAGATGTAACTCAGAAGCGAGAAGGTAAATAGCTCAAATCCTTGATCATCTAAGATAAATCGGATATAATCTGGGAAATCTGGGAATTTATTAACGTATTAACGATATTGTAGTATCGATATTGATTTAATTCAGGCTTAAACTATAGTAAAGTATTTAGGTAAATATTTTTAGACACTTTCCTATATGTAAAAAAATTATTTTTTGCCAATAAATATGAGTAAGATCTCAATATACATCAAAGAATTTTTAGCTGAGAATTTTATCATAACATTCTTCTATTAACAAATAACTAATAAATTGTCTAAAATTGGTTAAATTAGTTTTTTTTAAAGTCACCTTTAAAATTATTATCAACTTGCGTTTCCCAACTGTTTTCGAGCAATTTTGCAATCATGAGCTTAGGTGTACCCCAAGGGCGCACTCTTGGTGCTTAGTCTCATTATTATCTCAAAATAATTATCAAACAAAATTAATTATATTAAAATATCTTCTCTCCTGCGTTTATATTTAATTTTTCCATCTGTTTTTTCCCAGTACCTTTAAAAAAGCAGATGCATTTTACTTTGCAAAAGATTTATAGTCCCCATAGAGTAGTGCACTATACGATACAGCTGTCGCCGCCAGCAAAGTAAATTTGCAATTTTATTACAAGAAAAACGTTTAATACCATTTCAGAGAAAAATTGCATAAAATAGAATTGTCCCTGAATACACGGAGCTTTTTTATTATATAAACTGGGTATTAGAATTGCTCATGCGAAATGTATTGGAAATATTGGAAATGTTCAGTTCATGATTCACTGCATAATGCATTTGTTGTGCATTGGAAGGAAATCAGATTGGAATGTTAGTTTTGGTCGTTTATGTGATTTACAGAGTTTTGTTACTTTGTTGCAGTAGTACATAAAGTTTGACCATTAAATTTGGATATAGAAATTGGACTATATATTGAGATTTTTGCATTCATGCTTACAAAGCACTCTACAAAGCTTTATTTGCAACGTTTTCAGAACTGCTAAAGTGAAATTCAAATATTTATATTTTGTTGGTGTAATTTATTAAAGACTATAAATTTGTAATCTGATTATCACTAAAATATATTACTGATTATTTTATACATGTTCAATTTAGGAAGCCAAGATTGAAATGGTGAATATTTCGATTATCTAAGTATTTTTGTACTGGATGTCTCCAACAAATTTAATGTTCTAGTAGAATTGTATTTGTTATTTGTTCCACAGAAGTCGTATATGTAATATCTCTAAGTTTCTTTGTTTGTTGATACTATTTGCTTACATAAGCATCTTATTGAATCATATGTATTCCGACAATTTGCATGTCGGTCTCGAGAATTCTATTTGCTTTGGTATATGACACTGGATGTAATATTATAATACAGGCTAGGTATAGTACTATTACACATGTCTTATATATGGAAAGAGATTATGTAATATAAATTCTGGTTGGTGATTTTTTTGGCAACGACATCCTATTTATTGATCATCTCCAAGTCTTATTTGAGTTAGCTCATTTTGTTTTTTTTTTAAATACAATATGTTTCTATTACCAGTTTTACAGCTTTCTTGGGCATAAAACTCGCAATGATAAGCGTAAGTCTTTCACAAAAATGATTTTCACTTCAGCGATTTATGTCGCATTAAACACAATCCATAAACCTCAAAAAATGTCTCATGATAGCAAATGATTTTTAATATTCCATTTAACGGCGCTATAAAAAAATTTAACGATAAAGATTGGAAATGTTTAACAATAGTGGAATTTAATGAAAATAAACATTTTATAATCCATTTTTATGAAATTGGAAGACTCTTGTGGAAAATCTCATTATTTTAGATGTACTACGTAAGACATAAATTTTCACATACTCGTAAAAGATTTAATATCAAATATTTGTTGAAAGTGTTTTTCTATTTTTACACTTACCCGGTCCAGAAAATATTTAGCAAGTATGAAATTATTTTTGATGGTATATATTTTAGTTAGTAATTTTTTTTATCTAAAGTTTCATTATCCTCAAAATTTATTCCTGCTAAAATAATTTTATCAGCATATTACCGCTGCAATTTATTGCGGTAATAGCGATTCACAGGAAATTAAATTGGGTTAGAACTGCCTCCACCGCAAAAAATATGCCCTGATTTACATAAAAACCCATTTATATATGTAGTAATATGCATTTTAAAAGGCAAAGAAAAATGTAAAACTTACCTCATCATCATAATTATCAGGTTCTGCCATCTTTGCCGAAATTAAAGTTTGCGGTTTCTTCACAAATTTCTTTGCTGCTTCCTTAATCACAGAAATTTCACCATATCTAAATTTTTAGCAAATATGCTGAAGTTGTGATAAAACTGAATGTTATGTAAATGACTTCATAATAAAGTTTTATTTTTATTTTTACACAAAAATTGTGAGATTTAGTTCATATTCTAGCATTCTTCATACTGTAGAGTATCTTCATGTTTTGACACTGAAATAAAAAAAAATATGTGGATCAAAAATATGCAACAATAATTATAAATTGAATTTTGCTAAATAATCTTGCATCATTTTAATAAAATATTTATACGATTAGCATAATTTATACTAATACTATCATTTTCCATGCACATATCATTGTAATATACGCATTATTCTTTTATTCAAAATATAGCTAAAATAATATATTTATTTCCTAGCTAGTATATTATGCAAACGAATATATATTAGATAAACCCACTGTCATAAATTTGAAACACGGTCACAAAAGTTTTAATACAATGAAATATTTGTTAGCTGGAACTTGTTTTCGTATAAAATCTTGTATAGTTTATGAAAGAAAATATAAATCAACACAAAACTTCACATAGATAAGCAAAATTGTGCAAAACATATCTGAAATTTATTTTTAACTTGATTTTTAGTAACAAAAGTAACAAAATATTATTTAAGATTCCTTTACAATCAATTTTTATAGTAATATCACAATTCATAGAAATTTTTAAATTTAAGTTTTGATTCTGTTCTTCTTGAACATTCTATAAAGTAATAAATAATAAAGTATGTGCACCAGAACTTTATAATCACATACATCCTAGAAAATTTTCTTAACTAAATTCAGAAAGATTTATTAAAATCCGAATAATCGTTTAGGAGTATGCAGTAAGTGGTTATGATTTAATATGAACTTATAATAGCAATAAAACTCAAATTGATTCTACGTTTCAGTTAGAAAACGTTTGCATGTGAAAAAGAAAAGGGCTGTTTTTAGGGTTTTCCCAGCAATTATTCGATTTTTGCTCCTAAGAACCATGCTTGGACTTCAACGAACATTTTAAAAAAAGAATTGGCCAAATTGGTCCAGGCGTTGTTGAGTTATGCGCTTCCTAAAACATTTTGCATTTCATTTTTATATATGATTGTGATCATATTGAATCTTATCCAAAAATTTCCTCCAGTAAAATGTTCCCCTATAAGTGTTCAAAATTTTGGCCACCCTTTCAAGATGGTTTGCACTTATTACCTTCCTCAATTGGTGGATTTTTCCATTGGCTGAGTTTATAATAATTCTTATTGCCTACGTTTATATATAATTTAATTTGACTGCGTATTTTAATATTAGTTGTCCATAGAGGTTCAAGGGTATCTATTTAAAACCAGGAGTGGGTCCGTCGGGTGCCGTCAGCGTCAACGTATTATCAGCATCGGGACGCATTTGCATTGCGCTTTGGGAATCTACGTCCATGAAAACTTTGTAGCGGCAAATTTCCGACGGCAAATAAAATAAAATGCATTATAAAATAGCATGGAAATACATATAATCCGATAGAATGGGGAATACAATTCTGGGGCTTATTGGGAGATCGTGGGAAGGTAATTTTTATAAGTATATGCATATATATTGAGTGGATATTACCAAATTGATAATGTACATATATACATATATATTTATATATATATATATATATATATATATATATATATATATATATATAACAAATGTATTCTGAGTGGATAGATATTATTTTAGAAATATGAACAAACAACACTCATTATTGCACTATTTATTTAATAAAATTTTACAAACGTTTCGAGATTAGGTTTGTCTCATCATCAGTGTGTTATAATTTAAAATCTAAAATATGGAAATCTAAATTAGCATTATGTGTTATCCGTTACAAGTCATTCCTTTTACTGTATTACCAACGATCGTCGGAGTCTGAATTATCTATTCAAGGTCAACTAGGTGAGTCATGAAATAGGGCCCATTTGAAAATTAGATGTCGCTAGGAAAAAATATTTTTTGAAAAAAAACCGTTCGTTTATAAATAAATATATATATGTATATATATCCTCTATTCGTACGGAATGAAAGATTAGTAATTTACACCCGTCGGTATTCCCATAGATAGCCGTATTTCCAGATACCAAAATTTAATATTTTATTTATTCATACAAATCTAGTGCTCCATGTGAATTCCCTGTACCTACTCTCACTGCAGAAAATGATTTATGATGCGCGAATATCACAGAACTGAGAGCGCAATATTTGCCCATGTGGGTGTATATTAAATTGACGATTTTTATAGAATCAGGGCAAAAAAAATATTTGACTTTCGCAAAATATGTCATATGCAAATATGTGTAAAGCAATTACACCAATTCAAATCGTGTTCATCAATAAACTACAAACTACCAACAAAATCTCGTTAGCACCAATGCGAATAAAATTAAATAAATCGATTCCTTCTACTAGAACTAAATCAATTATTCTGCATCCAATGTATGTAATTGGGCCACATGTGAGACAAAGGTAGAAAACACATGTGTTCTAGTAACGAATGGGAAATTGTACAGGAAATTACATACACAATTCTCATTGCCATATAATTTGTGCATCGTATCGTGTAACTGGTTCTAAATAATGGAAATTAACCAAACTTGCTTGGTTTAGGCGAATAATTTTGGCACTAATTAGGGAACTTTGATATGTAATTAACAAACACTTTAATTTAGTTATAACTGTATGAAAGTGATTCCAAAATTGCCTGCAAATCGAGTTTGAGACAATTATCAATCTTGTTAGGGAAATAAATTTACTAGTTCACTATTTTACTACCATATGGCAACTTACTACATATTTATTTTCGTGTGAGTTATGATGTCTTTTATATATGATCCTATATATGTAAAAGTTCGGATCTGGTAAATTTACATATAGGAATAAAGCCAATAAATGTGAAATGTTAATGCAACGCACCAGCAAACTTCAGTTCAAAATGCAAATTGTGTTCATGAAACCATGCGGAATCGGTCGTAAAGGTAAATACAGGAATTGGTTTTATGATTGCAAGTAAAAGTGTTATATAAAAATTAGTAAGCTTTTACTATTATTCAAAATTATATTATATCGATAAACGTTTTTCTTTACATTCATTTCGGCATGAATTTTCTGAACATGATCCAGTTTTTTCCACATGAAGCTTTAACTCAATTCATCAATCCTTTCCCTTAAATATTACATTTTCTCAGCGAGCATTCATCTTCGTCGGGTTAAAAATTGATGTAATTTTTAGAGCGAGAACAATGTCGGTTATAATAAAAGTTTTTGAACTGGTTAAGAATGTTTTCAGTACACGGTAGGTACATGTCATAGTAACATGGAAAATGTATTACAAAGTTTATGCATTATACAAGAACTTATAACATGACTGCATGGCGTGTTAGAGTGCCTAACACGGCAAACTGAAATAGACTTTTGTGAATTAAATATGGTTTTGTGCAGGTATGGGTAGCATTGAGAAAAAGCACAATAAGCATATATACAAACATTAAAATATAATTATTAATTATAATAATTTTAAAAAAATGTTTGGAATATTAAATCATGGTCGACATTGTTTTTTTTATCAAAGCAAGAGTTTTATTTATAAACTAACAGTTTATGCATTTGAAATTAATGTAAATATTCTATTTGTAACATCTAATTATAGCATAAACTATTTATATCTATTTTGCCAAAAATGGATTTAGGGTACAACATAGATGTAGAAAAAAGTAGAATAAAAAGAGCGGTGGAGACGCCAATACATTATGAAATTAAAGACTAGTGTTTCCCAAAGTAAGGTTCACTCCTTATCATACAACTTTCATAGTAATATTCACTTTAATGAAATATCTCAACAGCAATTAATCATCTCTCTTATTTTTGATATGGGTTCCATATTAAAATATAAAATTCTGTAACGAAAAGAACCAGTAGAAAGGCCAATATGAAACGTAAAATAGGCAATCAAATTATTCAAAATTATTTCTACAGCCTCGAGGCAAAGTTTTCAAACAGACTAATATCCACTTCAATAAAACATTCCCAACAATAATTAATCATCCCCGTTGTTTTCGATCTGAGATTCCATATTAAAATTAATTGATCTAATAATTTCTTATTACGCTAATTGGAGTGTCTAATTTTTCAAATTTCTCTATAGCGATAAAAAGTTCAACCTTTAATCACGACTAATTAACTACTTAACTTAACGAGCACAGTAGCAGATGCGAAAATATAATTTTTGCTCGTGACATTTTAATTATAAAGTAAATTATTTGAGTTTGCACAACTCGGAGTTTGACCGGAAAATTGAACTAGTTTAGTACCGAAACAAGTGTGGCATGAAAATGCTTTAATTATGTTTTATTTGCAATAGCTGCAATTTGTCGTAGTAGAAGTAGTTGTCAAATGCTCCTCTTTGCTTCAATTAATTTAGAAGAGAACTTTGTAAATGTCACAGTTTGTGGCACTTTTGTTCTGTTGAATGCTGCGGTTAGACCCACATGATCATTCGACAGGTTAATGGAGAAAATCGACTGAAACTATTTAGTATACCCTGACAGAAGGGGAAAATGAACCAGGATTAGTTATGTAGACCTTTAATATACCACTCTTCAACAAGTAGAGTTAGTAAACTTCAAAAATCAATTCATTATTTGAACAACCAAAATATACCCAATTATCTGGTGTCTTTGTGAGTATTTGAGTTCATCTCGCATCAATCACAAATATTTGAATTTTCAAAGTGTACTTTCTTTATTGTCTTTGTACTACGTGCGTTTTGTTTGCACATTATCATGTTTGTGCTTTGACTCTCTGAACAAGAACTTTTTCCGACCTTTGCCAACTAGTTATAAACTCGAGAACAAAAAGATAACACGGGGTAGAACTGTTGTCTGATTAGTGTTTGCGAATGCGGTTTTCCATCTCGGCGCGTTGAGCAAAGATTTTATGATCAGGCAGTCGGTGTTTGT